GTGTCTGCTGTCGTAATGCAGCTTTTATGTCTCTTGGCTCTGCAGGCGAGCTGCACCTTCCATGTTGTACTATGGTGCGCACACAAAGGACACAGCTATAGGTGAAGGGAGGATGAGTGTGAGAAAAGTTACTTGAGAATGCCAGGTGTCTCACCTTTTATGGGGTGGTGGAAAAGAGTTCTTCTTCCAGCCTTCCTCTGCCCTTTGCTATTTGCAATATCACCAGCAAATCTTACTGCTGTGGAAGGGGTGATGAGTTGTGGTTGCAGTTTCCCATCTCATGGGCTTGAAGAGCTGTTGGCTTGCCTGAAGCCTGAAAACACTCGTCCCTGGGGTAACCACAAGAGGCTTTTCCAGAGCAAAGGCCACTAAAGCACTGTCTGCGGGGCTTGAAGGGAGGTTCAGAATGGGAATTCAGCACAGCCTGATCCTCCATCCATTTTAGTAACAGTCTCTAGAGCTGGGAAGTAAAATGCATTGAAATAATACATAGATACTGATAAAAGACACTGATATTCTTTCTTCCTTTCAGTTTGAGAACAAGGGGCTAGTATGTTGTGAGGAAGTGAATGCAAAACACTTAAGAATGCAGACTACAAACTTTGGCCTAATCATTTCTATTACAGAACAGAACAATCTTTGTATAATTCAGCAGTGAGAAAATGAACCTTTTCGTGTCTCCTTAGTGTCTCTTCTGCCCTGGGCACCTCCTGCTTATTCTGTTTTCATGTACTAAATTCTCTTCTAGCTATTGTGAAAGAAGGAAGTGAGTAGACAGAGTTGTTCCTCTGTGATGTGACAGTGGGAAGAGACTGAAAAGACATGAACTTGCTAGTTCTGCTGTTTATGAAGACAGTTTTTAAGATGGTAAGTCAACACATACACATTCGCTTCAATCACATGAAATTGTACATCTTAAAACTCTGGCCCTGGGACAGTCAACACACTGAAAACTCATATTGTGACAGAGATGCAATAGTCAGAAAATGTATTTCCTTTTCCCGATGTGTGACTCTCAGTAGTTAGATTTTTGCTAAATGTCAAGTGTAGGGTTTAATTCTGCATTTCCTATCTTGTGTGTACCTTCCGCTTTAACCAACTTCAGACGTGGCTTCTGGTGTAGTTTTATCATCTGCTAACATTAACTCACTGATTAAAAGAAGGAGCATAGCATACACTTACAGACTTGCCCTAAATACTGCAGGCAGATGTAATCTTTTTGCTGATAATGCAGTTCATAAGGAATAAAGGTAAAGACTGCAGATTAAAATAGCAGGGAGGCCAGGGGAGTGCACTGCTCTGTCAGGAGGGCACAGGACCTTTTGGTGTGGATGGAGAAGGAAGTTCAAAGATTTGGTTATCCACCTAATATGAAATATAGAGACTGGTAAGCTGGAGGTGTTTGTTAACAAGCACTATGGATTCCTTGTCAGTTATTTGCTGGCGCTCCTTGCTTTTCTAGGAGCAAGTGATACCTACAAAGTTCCCCACTGCCAGACCTTTTCTGATGGCAGAGGCTTGGGATGATCCAATGAGGTGAAATCACAGAGATGGCTGGTTCCTGAATGCTGTAATACTGTGTGTGCTCCCATAGCTAAATAAAGCAGGTCCACTGATGTTTTGCATTCCTCAGCTCAGCTTCAGCCCCACTCCCTGCAAGGAAATGAAGCACTGGAGTGCTGCCTTCCAGATCATAAAAAAGTGGCCATTGCACTCCCCAGAGGGATGGTTAGTTCTTGGGGAAAGACAGTGAATGGCAAGGGGTAGTCTCTCACTAGAGCAGTGTCTGGGTTTAGTTACAGCCTAGGAGTTAGCTAGGCTTGCTTCAATACTTGCACAGTGAGCCCAAAAGCACAGGCCTGGCTTGAGGAAGGCTGTAAGTGTAAGGCAGAGTTGCAGCTGCTGTGCCTGAAAAGCAGGCTCAAAGGCTCTCCCTGAGGGAACCTTCCCCAGCTAGAGCCAGCTCACCTGGAAGCAAAACGAAACCCTCTCGGCAACCACAGAACTTCAAATTTATTTTCTTTCTTTTAATGATTTCCTTCTAAACACATCAGTTTACCGTCATTGCTTTGCAGTCCAAAGGCTCTTGGAAAAAACTACCAGCGCCTTCCCATTCTCACTGGCAGTGTGTGTGCCAAGAAGCACAGCCAGCTCTCCCGTGGCAGCACTTCTTCCTGGCAGCTTTCCTCCTCGACTGCCGGCCCAGACAATAAAAGGGGCTGCTCCCTGACCTCCACCATCCAGTGTCCTGGGATGTCTGGCTGTGCCACACACGCTCTGTCAGGCAGCTCTGCAATATATTATCTTTGCTGGGAAAGCATCCAGTGTGTGGCTGCGGGCACTTGCTGCATCCCTGTTAGAGGGTCAGTGTGTCTGTGTTGCACCCCTGTGACTGCTGCTGGGGTTCTTGTCACCACGCCTGCTGTGGCTATCACAGCATGCTGCAATTGTTACATGTGTGGAAGTAGTGTGTAGGTCCCAAATTACACACACTGGAGTACTGTGTCCAGCTCTGGAGCCCTCAGTATAAGAAGGACATGGACCTGTTGGAGCAGGTTCAGAGGAAGGCAACAGAAATGATCAGAGAACCAGAGCACCTCTCCTGTAAGGACAGGCTGAGGGAGCTGGGGTTGTTCAGCCTGGAGAAGAGAAGGCTGCGGCAAGACCTTACTGCGGCCTTTCAATACTTAAAGGTAGGCTGCAAGAAAGATGGAGACCATCTTTTTAGCATGGGCTGTTGTGACAGGACAAGGGGTAATGGTTTTATACTAAGGAGAGGGTAGATTTAGACTGGATATAAGGAAGAAATTACAATGAGGATGGTGAAACACTGGAATAGGTTGCCCAGAGAGGTGGTAGAGGCCCCATCCCTGGAAATATTTAAGGTCAGGTTGGATGGGGCTCTAAGCAACTTGACCTAGTTGAGGATGTCCCTGCTCACTGCAGCGGGGTTGGACTAGATGACCTTTAAATGCCCCTTCCAAATCAACGCATTTAGTGCTTCTGTGAAATTCAGTGTGGTTTATATCCTGTTTCCCAGCAGGGTTTGCAACGCTTTCACTGTGCTATCTGCTGAACTCCTCGGTGCCACCTGGGAGTGTGGACACCCTTCATGCACAGCAGCCAACCGGTCTCCTGTTTCCTTGACCTCCATACAAATTATTGTAGGTGACCTCTGTAAGCCCTAGGAGAAAGCCTCGCAGCCTACCCACGTCCTGACATCCCAAGTGAGAATTGTTTGGTTTTCTCCCTGGGCCGCACTATGCTGTTTCAATCCTGTGGACCCAGCACAGCTCTGCACTCTCCACAGGGCTTTTCCAGGCTGTGCCTTGGGTCAAGGCTCGTATAGCAGTGGCACAAAATGATAAAGTCCTTCGTGGGCCGAGACAAAAACTCATGCACGATGTGTGGGACAGCACTGCTGCCAGCTCTTCTGCTGCTGCCTCCCCTCGCTCAGGTATCTAAACCTCTCTGCTCTGAAGCTAGAGAATTAAACCCGAGTTAAATGTGTGTTAAGGAAAACCTGACAGGAAACAGCTTTGATTCCGCGCCCCTTTTTCTCTTTCTCTCCACACAAAGCTCGTTCGCAGCCCAGCGGGGCGCTCTGGCTTATCCGGTCTTAGGGCCGGAGCCGCTGCCTGCGCAGACACTCTCGCTGGCCCGGTGGCGCCGCAGGGAAGCGCCTCGTCTGCCATTGCCGTCTGGGTCCGTGTCAGCCCCCGTTCCCCCCCTCCACTCCCCACCGCAGCACAGTGCCCGGGGCTCCTCCCGCCGCTTCTGCCCGTAGCCAAGATGGCTCTGCCCACTTCAAGTTGCCCTGCGCCGACATGGCGGCCGCGGAGGAGGGGCGCTCTGTCCGCGCCCGTAGTCTGCGGTCTGGCAGCGGGGAGGCAGGGCTGGGTGGGGGGGTTGTGTGTGGCATGCTTTTGGCTTTCCCCTTTTTCTTCCTCCACAATGTTTTGCTGTCCGTGGAGTCCTCAGAAACTAACGGGGGGATGCGGGCAGAGAGAGCGAGGCGGCTGTCATAGTGAGGCCGCAGGAGATTCTGGGTTTGGGGGAGGGGGGGCTTGGCCTGTGGAGGGCTGCTCTGGGTTGCGCTCTTTTTCCCTTTGCTGCTATGGGGATGGTTGTTGAAATAATTCGTGTCTCTACCTGCAGGAAAGGGGGGGAAGAAACGAGACTGGGAGGAAGAGGACTTCCTCTCCTGTGACCCCCAAAACCAGCTGAGTGGGGCAGCCGGTAAGGCCAGCGCCTTGCACCCACTGATGTGCCCATCGCATGTCCTGTGCACAGTGCCACTGGTCAAAGATGGCCTGGAGGAAAATCCAGTTTCCTCCTGAAAATATATTTGTCCTGGATGCTTGCTGAAAATAATAAGGTAATGGCAGAGGGTGGGAAACAGGATTTGATTTTCTTGGGCCTGTGGCTTGTTCCACGCACTGAGTTATGTGGCTCTGTTAAAATGCATTTCCTGGTCAAGGTTTGACGCAGCACAGGCTATCAGTGTTGGCGTCAAAACACTTCTAGATAAACCTGTTGGGGAAATACCTGTGCCCTCACAAGAGGGAGGGAGGGATGCCAGCTGTGATTCGCTTCTCTGCTTTATGGGTTTTGAATAAATAGCCTATCTGGCAGCTTCTTGTAGAGAAAATCTTGGCTTTATTTCTAGAGAGTACCAACCCCTTTCCAGGAGGTCATCTTTGCTGTCAAAAGATTCAAGGGCATTACTAGATGTGGCATTTCTGATTCCTAGAAAAACTTTTCTCTGTGTCAGACTCAACAAACAGTGGTATATGTGATGACTGACTGTTGACATCAGCTGGCGTATGTGCTTTGAAAGGTCAGCCCGATCAGCTGATGGAAAGCATGTAATCAACCTGTTTGTTTCATTCCAGTGAGCTGGGATTGGCAGACCATGAAGGAAGAAGAAGATCCTGAAGCAGTGACAGACTGTTTGCTGCCAGACTCTGTCCGAAGGGACGTCAGTGCTGTTCCCAGGTATGGCACAGAGGTAACAGTGTGTGTCTTCCACCTGCCTGAAGGTCCAGGGCTGAGCTGAGGTGTTGCTTATCCTCACAAACAAGTCTCCCCATCAGTTTTGGGAGGAGAACTGCTGTAGCCTTGACTTATGCTGTCTTACACAATTAAACTGCACTCTGAAATTGTTGGAGGACTAGAGGGAGCTAATCCAAGGGAAAATGTTTGGGTTTTTTTTAATTATTTGTTTTATCTGAACCTGATCATCACGTGGCTGCACATGTTGTTAGCCCTGTCTGGCAATTCGAGGAAGGAGGCCTGCACAGGCACCTGGCAGAGACAGCCAGGACAGCAGCAGCCTGTGTCAATGACACCCATAAGCTGCTGTGGTGTCATACCAGCAGCACCTCTTGCTACAATCTCTCACTTGCCCTTGGAGGGATCGAACTGGTTGGGTTTTTGGTGTGGTGTTTTTTTCCAGACCAAGGACTGAAATAGGCAGTTTTGTTCTCTGAAATGCTTGTGTACTTAAAAAGTAGCACATGTCATGAGAACAGTATTTGAGGAAAGTTTCTCCTTCTCTCTGTTCCTTATGCACGGGTCATCTGTGTTTTGGGACGTGAAGAGCAATGAAGGAGAAGCTTTCCTCTGAAGTGGCTGTTGAGGAGCAGAGGGTTGTATGCTTTGTTGTTTGTTGTGGTTTTTTTTTTAACCTTCCACTCTGTTTTTCCTGGAAGCTTTCTGTGAATGCACTGACTTTGCTTGTCCCTCCAAGGCAAGGGAGCTGGTCTCCTCCCATATCACAGCCAGCACCACCACTCTTATTCATTAGTGAGTTACCATTCTGCAAAGGTCAAAGGTGCAACTTAGCTACAGGTTTACTCAACACAGAAGAACCTAAGGAATGGTGGTTTTTGTGTTTTTTTTTTAAATGTCTGCATGGGAGTATTTACTTCAGTTTTTTAGTACTAATCACTTCTAGAGTTTTCTTTAGCCCCTGTGGCAGTGAAATTCCTCACTGACAACACCCCTGAGATAAGAGTGTGTTGCCTGCCTTATTTTATAGAAGGAGAAGTAAATGTGAGCCTGCAGGGTCTCAAACCATTGCCTGACTTCTGGATCTGGTTCCTCTGCCTTTTCACTCTTTACCAAAATAGCAGAAGGATAAGCTGGTGGAGAGTGCAGTGCAGATAGCCACAATCTGCTTGTTTACTTATATACAATTAACAAAAAAAAGAAAGACAGATGAAGGAAGAGACTTGCACAGAATCTCCTGGAGTTTCTCTAAGAGCTGGGAACGAAATGCACGTTTAAGTAGAAACACTCTAATTCTGTCCACACTTTTTCCATGAAAAGCATCATCTGTTACCTGAGTGAGGGGAAAAAACAAGATGTTAGCTCACATTTACTCCACCCAATCTCATCATCAGTGCTCAGAGCATGTTTAAGTGAAGCTCCTGCCTGAAAGTCCTTCTGACATAAGGCCCTGCAGTAAGAGCTGGGTCGATTCCTGCTCTGTTTAGTGTTGCTAGAGGGGTGAACTGGAGTACAACAGTCCTCTGCTCAGAGCCTTTAGTGTTAGTGGAGAGTCTCAGCTGCCTTAGAAGGGGTTGTGCAAAGTGGCCAAAAGCTAGCGGCTGAGTATCAGGTGGAAAATGAGGGTGTTTGGGGCTGTTCTGGATTTTTCCTTGCGAGTGTCTTTCCTTGAGGTCTACAGAGAGCCCCTCTTTCTGAGTCACTGCTAATAATGAGTCAGCCCAGGAATTCCTACTTGCTGTCTCCATTTGTCATTCTATGAGCTGCCCCACCAAGCTTTTGCCTTTCACTGCTGTCTGCCCTAGACACTTGTGTGACTGTGCTTGGAGCTCCTGAGCAGAACACTTTAGTTTCATCCTCTCCAAAAGAATTGACCATCCACTGTTATCCTTGGTATGCAGCTGGGTGGCACCAGCTGTGTCCTGCTCTCCACCCAGCTGTGTATTCCTGCCCTGTGTGGTGATGGACTGGTTGGAGGAGCTCAAGAGAAGGGTGTTGGGATGTGGGTATGCCTTAACTGCATGTGCACAGTGCTGTCCACAGGGTATACAACACAGCTGCCCTTGTGTCTCCATGCTGGAAAATACTTGCCAGCCCTGTGGAGTTGAGACTACCAAACTCTAAGATGTTCTTTCCTTCTACTACTAAGCATGATGAATTTCATGAACAGATCCAGGAAGGGTGGGTTTAACTTGTGATATCTATAAACATCAATGGTAAGGGGAAAGGACCCTGAAGAACGTGTTTTCTTTTAAATTGCATGCATAGTATATCTTGAAGTGAATAAAGTGAATATACTCCATAGCTTTCTAGCTAGTTTTGAGGCCTGAATCTTTACTTCTGGGAAGCCTTCAGGAAAGCCAGATTTGTTGTGGACTCCTAGTTATTCTGTTTAGGGCTGAGAGCTGTTGTCTATGGGTTTTTGTTCCTCCTTTACATCTTTAATTTTGCTCTTATTTTCTTAAATGTAGTTTTAATATGCTAAAACGGCTTCTCTTAGCTCATAAAGCAGTGCAAAAATGCCAGATCATTTACATTGACTTCTGCTTGGATTTTCATGCACTAGAAGCCCAGCTCAGTCATATTTGTGTCTTTGCAGTGGGAGCATAGAAGGAAAAGAGACCTCACCAAGTGATGACTCAGAGAAGAGCAGCATATTGGACCTACCGTCTCTTTGTGACCTAGCAGAAGACTTTGAGCTTCCACACAGCTCAGAAGACAGCGAGGAACTTTTTCATTCTGTGGACACTTTTCCCTATCCACCCACAGGTAACAGCTTCTGCCTCTTCACATGCTCTCTCTTTAGCCAGTGCATTATCTATTTAGGCAGTGTGTCGTTTGACTGAGTAACAGCAGTCAGATATTAGTGCATCTACCTTGTCTTAAAACACACTTTACCAGAGCTACAGTCTGTTCCAACTTGACAGATAGAGTGTGAACTGTGGGTTGATGAGATACAGGAGAGTAGTTCAGAGCGTACTATCAACTGCTCCTGTTTTGACAACATTGGTTTTTTCATGTTTAGTGTGCTCTCAGAGGAAGAGAGTTACTTGAACTAACCCACAGCACAATCCACCAGACATCGGTAGGAAATACTTTCTCAAATTATCGTAGTCAGTAAGAAATTTTTTTAAACTCTCCTTGTGTTCTTTATGTACTCATCATCCACCTTCCAGTCATGAGCTCAGGATGTGGCCTCTGTAGCCCATTACTTTAAAACTATAATGGTGAATGTTTGCTTGTGCTAATAACATGAGTGTGATGAGAACTGCCTCAGTTCGATTCTTGGGAGACAGAAGTTTCCTCACTTGAAGCAGGACTGATTCCTGCAGAAGCAGCAATTTAGGTCAGCCACTACTCCACGTTCTTAAGAGTAATGGTGTATCTGAGAAGATCGAGGGACAGCTGGCACATTCTGATTACTACACTCCTTATCCCATTCAGTGTGAATATATGGCAAGAAGTGTGAAATCGAATTGCACTGGCCCAGTGGCACTTCTTGCCATATATTCATACTGGCTGGGCTAAGAGTTGTAGTAATTATATTTAATATTGCGAGGGGGAAATAAAATCTGATCAGCAAATAATGTGTGAAGATGGCTTGTCAAGGCACCTGAGCAGGCAAAACACCACTGATGACGTTTTTGGTTGTTCTGGTGTCTTAAGTAGTGTAAAAGTAGAGTTTGGCTCCTCTCCTTCCTCTGGCACTGGGTGGTTTACTTTGGCCTATTTCAAGAATTTAGCTTGGAATTTGATGGGTGAGTTGTTTCAGTGGGAATTCTACTGTTTTGCATGCTAAACAGGTAAGCAGCAGGATCTGCTGTAAACATCAGCCCTGTTGATGTTGACTGCTTGCCTGTGCAGTTGTCTTCACCTCTAATTGTGCAACATCTAGACCTGTAATGAAATCTGCAAACAGTAGATACCAATCCTTGCTTGGGTTTTCCTCTGCAGACCAGGAAATAATAAAAGCATGGAATCGCAGAATGCAGTCAGGTTGGAAGGGACCTTTAAAGACCATCCAGTCCAACCCCCCTGTGGTAAGCAGGGACATCTTTAGCTAGATCAGATTTCTCAGAGCCCCATCAAGCCTGGCCTTGAATGTCTCCAGGGACTGGGCTCCACCACCACACTGGGCAACCTATGCCAGTGTTTCACCACCCTCATAGTGAAGAACTTCTTTCTAATGGCTAATCTAAATCTACCCTGCTCTAGTTTAAAACCACTGCCCCTTGTCCTATCGCTATGTACCCTTGTAAACAGTCCCTCCTCAGCTTTCTTGTGAGCCCCCTTCAGGTTACTAGTGATGCAAATGTTCTACTGTAACCTTTATTTTAAAGCATGATCTGTATCACGTTCCATCGTCCATATTGCATTAGAGGAATAGTGTATCTGGTTTGAAGTTTTGCTGTATTTTTTTGTGCTTAAGAGTGGTGACCACCACAACAAGGAATGTCCTGAGCAAGCCTTTTCCACTGTTGTGGGAGAGGAGGAGAGGGAAGTTCCTCTAACACTGAGACAGACTGGAAGGCATTTGTTTACTCAGATTTCACAAGCCCTGTGTTGCAGGTAGGAAGAAATTCTGGGAGCTGTGAGGCAGTTCCTGCAATGTGTGTAGGATGGCTTAGTTACTCAACCACCATTTAGCGTGTCTTGGGGCAACTGGACTTGATTGCTGTGATGAATGGGATGCACAGAAGAACTGCATGACCACTCAGCAGTCCTAAGACTGGCAGGACAGATGATGGGTCTTCTCATCAAACTTGAAAGATTTTTATTAGCCATGGGGCTGAGGGGAGGGGGAGCGGCAAAATCTTCCTTAGTGATTCAAGAACATTTCCAGAAGGCTGTTAGGTCTCTGAGAATGTGACAGCTTCCTTAGCAAAGAAACGGAGTGACAACATGAGCTATGTCTGACGTCTGTCACATGAACTGGACTGAGACTGACTGAGATGCCATGCCATCCCAGCCTCAGGAGTTGGAAATGGGTATGAAGGTATTCCTAGTGCTTGAGTCACTTGTAATAGGTCATATTAGTCTAGAGAGGTTCCATCGCTTGTAATAGCAGAAGATAGTACCCATCAGCCATGAAAAGAGGGCCTTGAAAGCAGCCATCCCTAGGCATAGGGAACAGCAGTCACAGGGAATACTACTAAATATTTATGTATAAGTGAGTGGTTTTCTGATTTGTGCAAGAGTGAAGGTTCTGCTCTTGCAACAGACATTCATACTTGTAGCTTATTGTCATAGAGTGTCCAAGTGTTCAAGCAGTGATAGACTGAGAAAATTAATTTGAATCAGTGAACTTTTCAGTATGCTTCCTTTTTTTTTTTTTTCAACTCCATACTGGAAAAGGATAATACAAAAAATTCATTGTTTATAGTGTTTCTAATCTGTATGACTCGATAGCACAGTGCTGCAGTGATTACTTATTACTTCCTCTGGATTAAGAAAAGTTGCCAGCAGAAGTTCTTAATTGGCAGCATTCAGGTGTGTGTGTTGGGAAGCCTTAAATTATTTGGATTAATAGTGGAAAGGCAGCTACTAAAAGTTGTTGACAACAAAGTAAGTCACTGACAGTGTTCCCTGTGAGGCACTGAACCAGAGTGTACCAGGGACAGTGGAATCATAGTCTTTGCCTGGAAACAATGCAGCCTAAGAAAAAAAGTACTAGAGAAAAGGCTATAGATGTGGTGCAGGTAAGGTCCTGGGCTCTGCCATGGTCTGAGAGAGCTGAGTTTGCTAGCACAGCCCTGGAGTGGTGCTGCCAAGCTTGGCGGCAGTGTTTGAGAGCTCAGCTGTGGCACCCTGCTTGGGAGGCTCCTGATTGAAGCACAGACAGAGCTCAGCCCCTCTGCCTTCATGGTCACTATCTATCTTGGGAGGATGGGTCCTTGTTGTTTGTCCTGCAGCTGTTCCCTTAATCACTTCTTCTTTGTAACAAAAAGTATTTCAGAAGTTTTATCCTTAGGAGAATGGATGGGTAGACAGGGTCACCCAGTGGAAGGGGAAGGTACACGGAAAACGTAGCTCACAGCAACAGAGAAAATAGAGGAAGGATGATGCTGGAGTGATGAGGTGGAGCAGGAGTTCCCTGTGTGATTGAAGAGTCCTGTGTGTATCTAAAAGCTGAATAGCTTTTTTAAAAACAAACAAACAAAACCCCACAAAAAAAGCCAAACACATAAAACCCAGCCAACCAAATGCCAGTTTGGGAGTGTTGAACCTTCAGTTGCCTCTCCAGATGCACTACTTCTGTTCCTGCAGTTTGCTTCAGATTTGAGCCCAGGCTTACCCTTGGTTATTTTCCATGGACTCCCTTGACCTCTCTAATGTAGCAAGAGTCCCAGGCTGCCCCTGAGTGTGCTTATTCCTGCTTCATCCTTAGTGCTGGTTCTCAGGTGGCCACGTGTGGAGTCATTTTGCTGGGCAGCCACGTGAATGTTTGTGCGGAGGAGATGGGGACAGCTGCTCTTTCTGGCAGCAGCACAGGTATATGACAAGATAGAGCAGTTCACAACCCGTCCTGTCTTTCATGTGGGCTTACAGTCTTTCCAGAATGGTGGCTTCTGGAAAAAGTGATGTTAGATTACTAATTGCTTTTCTGAAGCAGGGAACCAGGCTGTAGGATCCTTTTGGTCAATCGTGATTTTTGTAGGCTTCCTTCAAAAATAGTCCATTTGGAAGAAGTTGTGAGAGCTTGGAGGAAATGCAGCAACACCGTTTCACTAGAGACTCATGGGCTCCAGGCAAACCAGTCTGCTGAAATTACTGCTCAGATGAAGAGGACACCTGATTACAAGATATCCCAGTTTAAAAATAAAAGCCGTCATGATTTTAGAACTGTTCTGGTTGCTTTCTGGGATTTTAGTCAACTAAGTATGGATGTTAAACAAAGCAGAGATATCCAGCCTGTTAACACAGCTGTCAGTTCTGTAGGGCAATTGGGATTCCTTTGAAAAAAATGCTACACGTACCCAGTGAATTTGCATGCTTAGTTTTGCAGTGGGTTGCTGTGTCTTTTATTAGCAGCTAAGGAGTCACGCTGATGTTGGTGCATGTGTTCTGACTTGTCCTTAAATGCTCTCTGCTGTTTACCATGTACACTTGCCTGTCAAGAGTTGCTTAATCCTGTTTGCAGAAGTGGGTTGTGTTTACTGAAGAAATCTGGCATGGTTTGTGCTTTTTCTGTATAGGAAGTGTGCACAAGTGCTGACATAGAAGCTGAAAATGAAAGAAGCAAGCTGTACTTGTCAGCAGCAGCCTGTCAGGGCTGGTACTTGATGGGTGCTTGAAGGTTCAGTTCAGCCCAGCCCAAAATTTACTGTATTCATGCATTACTTGGTACAGAAATTATAGCTTGGCTGTCTCAGCTACGACTGTTAGCAAAAGTAGCAGAATTTCCAGAACGAGTTTCTGTCTGGCCATGCTGAAGACAGCCTGAAGGCTAAAAACCTTTATATATATTATCATTTAAGTAGTCTGTATTAACTTTGTAAATCCAAAACACACGTGATATTTAGAATCACTTTCACACTGAACCAAAGCTGAGCTAAGAAGGACTTGTATTTGCACTCTTGGCTGCCATGGTTAGATATAGAAACTTCTGATAGTCTCCGTTTACCAAGAAGTTATAGGTTGCCCAAGTAATATCTTTCTGGCATGATGTGGAAATGAGAGGGTGCTGCACAAAGGTGCTTTGTGCTGTTACCGAGTCTTCTTTGACTGAAGGAAGTTAACATGCTCTAAACTTTCTTCAGTTTGAAATG